TCGACATGATATAGGGCCCCCAAGTAAAGCTCATCGTTTTAAATAATGTTATCTTTTTTATAACTCTGCATTCTCTTGCAGGTGAGTGGGATGTTACTACTAATTATTGTTCCCATAATAACAACCCCTAGCGAAAACCATAAAGCTAACACACCCTAGATTTACATTATTTGATATTGACATATTTTTGCTCTAACTTCATGAAGTTGTCAATTGTACCGTGAGAAATGTGAATCATTTGATGGGTGATAGTGATTTTATAGCCGGCTTGTGGGCTCCTCGCTTGAACTTGCATCGAAGATTAGTTTTATGAACTGAGTAACATTAAGCTCGATTTGAAAAGTTTGTCAGCTAACTCCATATTAGTTTCTTTAAACAAGTGTTATATTGCTTGCTATAAAATTTGACTATATAAGTTAACAGTCTAAAGTTAATACTTACCAGAATATAATTTAGAAACAAACAAATTAATCATAAATATATGTAGGAATGGTAGCTCAAAACAGCCTAAACGAGTACCTATTTTTGTTGTAATTCTAAAAACAACTTGTACCTAAATTTTAATTAGTTAACATGAATTGAAACAACTTGAAATTTGGCTCAAGTTCAATTATATTTGTGATGAATTTAAACAAGCTAATAAGTTTGCGTTAACTCTTCAATTCAAATGTTGGGAAGTCAATGTTCCATGCATTATTGTACATAAACTAATGTAACCTAAGACATTAGGAGTATCAAAGTATATAACTATTGACATGCCTAACTATTAACTTATGTAACATTAAGTGTAATGGTTACAAGTGTTCAATATAACCTTAAAACATAAATTGCATTATTGGTAAGTTGTTGCTTTAACAAATTAGTTTGATTAAGATCGATCATTTAACTTAATTATATACAAGATTAGGAATGTAGAATATTCCAAAACTAAGAAGAGACATACATGTAAAAAAAAAATTAAAAAGCAAAATCATTAGCTCTTTTTGAAATCTTGTTAAAGTAGGTCGTTAAAATAATTTTTTTTTAACTATAAAGTAGGGTATTTTAATATTATCAATATAGTTATTTTGGATTTAAGTAATTTACGTGTAGGGACAACTAACAATAAGTAATATGCTACTATATGATACGTGATCTTGGCATAAAATCTATTTAATTAATAAATTATTAAGTTTATATTAACCCTTTGGAGCATGGAAGGTCTAATGTCCATCTATAAATTGACCTTAAATTTGACATAGAATTATAAAGCAAACTTTGTTGGAAAACCGTTGCATTTATGCATGCTTTAGGAAATAATTATAAGAATTAATTAATTAGCACACGGATTATGACCTTTTATTAGAGTGTTCTGATTAATTTCCCTTTACAGAAACATTTTGTTTTACATATTTGTCGTGTTCATGTTGATATGGTCTGATTTTGGTATATTAACAATATTTTTAAGGAAATAAAATAGGAGAAAAAACAGTTGCTTAAAACATTTGAAAAAAAAAAATCATTAAAGTTAGGTAGGTGCACATACATCTTAATTTAATTATTCTTTGGTACTTGAGCTAGTTTTATATTCGATCTTCTGCTTTGCATTAGCACATTACATGAAATCAGGCTGAAAAATTAGTATTAGGGCATATTGTGTCTATCTGTAACCATGGGTGTATGTTTGATGTATTGAGTGAATGTCATATATTTTCTTGACTTTGATGGTTAAATGACCTAGTTAATAATGCAATGTGACAACGGAATTTAAAAGATGAGTCTGATGATAGTATTTATCTTGAATCAAATGCTATAACATGATTACTCCGATGATAGTAACTTGAATAAAATGCTATAACATGATTACAAAAGAGTCACTTTCTTAATAAGAAAGAGGCTTTGTTGCATCATGAACCCAATAATAATGAGAAATGAGGCAGGTATAGTTTGAATTGTAACTTTGTAAGGAAATGGCTAGCTTATCACTTACGCTAAAACAAGAGATTTCCCTTTCATATCTAAGTAATCCTTAATTTTATGGGTCAATTAGAAGACATCCCATCACATTGGGCTATAGTTGTGCAAATACACTTCAGATTAGATAGATCATAGTTGCAATTTCCATCAAGCTAAGCTAGATTCCCTCTTTTTTTTTTTGTTCGCTTAGTTAATAGGGAAACTAAAAGTAAGATGATGATTTTAGTAAAAAATCTGTCAACCTTATTAATTGGTGACCAAAAAATATAAGTTGGTCACCTTATCAATTTTTGTCAAGACTTGACCTAGCAAAAACTTTTAAGGGCATTTTATAACACCTTAGCTTGTGTTCATAGTATATGCTTGGTTTAAACAAAAATCTACGCGTCATATATATCATGCGATCAGAATATCACTCTCAACTCTCGTCTCTTTGTGTATGTATATGAATGGAAGATCAAAATAAATATTCTTCCTAACAAGGATTGGAGTTCAAAACTTCATAGTGCACAATATGACTATAAAAAAAAAAAAAAAAAAAAAAATCACTAGAATGCAAATTGCAAATGTTTATTGGCATGGTACAAAATTCATTATTATATTCTATCTAAATGACCAAATACAAGATATATAGTTACATCAAAGTACCAATAAAAGGGTATAAAAACTCATTTAAAATGCTCAAAAAAGGTTAAAAGCTAATTAAGATATATACACCCAACCATAATTTCAAGGAAGGTACAAAGTACACCCAATATGCTTAAAATGGCTCCCACTTTTTTTTTTCATTTTTTCCTTTAGATTAATACTTATCTAATACAACTTTTTAACTGTTTGGCAACTGAATAAATAATCATTGCAAATATATTGGCGCCGAATAAAATGTTTGATCAATTTTTTTGGCATATTTGTTGGCATTGAGTCATTGTCCAAAATATAAGTTGCATTTATTTATTTATTTTTCTAAAAAAATATAGAATATTATTAAAATATTGTACTATGTTGGAGAAGATCTTTTCATTGTCGAATAGTTGATATTCGACCAATAGTATAGTAAACCAAAACGAGGGAAAAAAATTCTGATTTGGCATGATATTGAACTAACTTAACCATGATTTGACGTAGTGACAAGTATAGTGACTTCTCTTAAGATTTTATGAGAAGATTTTCGCGTGCTTTTTAGAAGCTTGAATTTACAGTCACAAAGGTACTAAATTGTATGTGTTGTTGATTAATTATTGTAACTTTTCATTATCTACAAGATAGTTATAGTATTGATTATGCCACTTGGCTTTGATTGTTTGTTCATGAATTGAACTGCTTGTGCACTCGTGCAATTTGTTAAATATTGTCACTTGTCGCGTCGAGGTTGAACACGTACTGCTGTTGGATTGTGTGAATCTGATATTCTTGGTCGGAATAGTTTCTATTGATCATAATGTGACAACGAAATTTGAAAGACGATCAAAGCTTAGTTGAGATATTATTTCGGTGGATATACATATATCATACACTAGGTTTCTTTATCAAGACGTACTACCAATAAGGTGTATCCGTATACATCATGCCTTAAGAGGAGGGGGATAATAATGTATCAAGGTTGTTGTGGGAAGTAGTAGTACTACTACTACCGTACCACCACTTGCTTCAAACAAGCTATGCATGTTGGGTAACTAAGTTGAATTTAAGACCTTTTATGAGTACAAAATTAAAATTCGAAGTTTTATGACATATAGTCTCTTTAATAGTACTCCATAACAGACATATGGGTGAAAGTTATTCAAATTATATTCAAACTCTAATTCAAACCTATCTATAAATTTGGATTTGAGGTTTATTTTTTTAAAAACAAAAGTGATATACTTTTGCTTCTTAGGATTGTAATTTTTAAAAAAAAAAATAGATTTCAAACAGATTGAATCCAGAATTTACTACTGACAGTAAAAAAAATATGGATTGTTAATGTAGTAGTTTTTATATAGAATAGTTTGACATGCATGTAGTAATATGGTTCTGCTAATTTCAAAATATTAAAGTTTGTGGGCCAAATATAGGGCTTGGAAGGATTGACTTTACTATTGCTTAAAAGAATGAGGTCCATAAACCACAGGGCCAAAAAACTCAAACAGTTTGTTTATTTATTTATATATTCAGGCTGGGTTCAATAATTAACAAATTCCAAACTGGATTGGACACAAACCAAATTTACTTCGTTTTCAGAAGGAATTGAAATCGGACAACATCCAAACTGAAATTCATATTTCAATTATCACTTTATCTGTTTCAAATTAGTTGATACATTTCAATTTTTCTCTATTTAAAAGCTCTACCTAAATTAGCTTTGAAAGTTACAGCTCATGTGAGATATTGTTATATTCCTCCCAATATGTATCTTCAATATATCGACATTTTATAATTTTACTTATTGATAATTTGAGATACAACTATACTTGTGCATTAACAAATGTCATAAAAAGAAATGATTCACTAATTTAGAATTGAGGAAGTATAAGCTTATTACTACTCCATAATACCAACTCATGTGGAGTATATAACTATATACATCATAAGCTAAAGGTCTACCAACAAGAGTAGGCTGAAGTGGTAAGCAATTTGATGTCCCTTAAGAGAGGTCTTGAGTTCGAGCCTCACCAAATGAAGAAAAATCCTGTCGGGAGACTCACCCATCGTTAGCCAGGTGTGCAACTGAGGTCGGATCCAAATGTAATCGGAGCTAAGCTTTGGCGAACCGAATGGGCCATACTATAAAAAAAAAAAAAAAAAAAAAAAAACAAATGTGTACTTCCTCCATGTTTCAATAAGATAGTGGGGTTAGTTTGGGTGGGAACCATGAGAAGAGAAAGATATGATATTAAAATGTAGTTTTTTGTTAAAAAAGGAAGTGTGACATTTATTAAACTACGACCGCATTTGATAAGTGTAACACTTATAAAAACAGAAGGGATTATTATAGGATAAGGGTCTGAAAGTTGCAATGGTTAATAAGACCCTAAGCCCAACGATATATGATATGGGTTACAACGAATTCAAAGCCCAATAAACTATGGTCCATTACAAAATTTAAAAACCCAAATATAATCATCCAAAACAAAGGCCCAAAACCCAAAAGTTGACGGCGCAGAATTGGACCGCAGATCCAGCGAAGCAGACAAATCAGCAACACTCTCAAAAATTTCTCCTCTCTTTCTCCGGCGAAAATACCTCAATTACCATCTCCTCCTCCTCTTTCTCTCTCTACTTCGTCCATTTTCTCTCTCCTCTTCAACCAACCCAGAATTTTCCAGAACTTTCTTCCATGCTTCAGATCCATTGCTCGTTGAACTGATTTGAATTCAGTCAAATTCTATCAGACTTCAACAATTTTGCGCCTCATTATTTTCAGTAATTTTCTCCAAATTTTTTGGTGTAATATTGGAAAAATTTTAGGATATAAATTGCAGAGAAATGGAAGGAATTTTCAATAAGATACGGAATTTGGATGCTTATCCTAAAATCAATGAAGATTTCTACAGTAGGACGTTATCTGGTGGTGTCATCACTCTTGTATCATCTTGTGTTATGCTTCTCCTCTTTTTCTCCGAACTTAGTACGCTCTTTCTCTCTCTTCTTTATGATTATTGTTGTTTTTATGATTTTGAGGGTTTTTGTTTGTTTGATCTTGATAATTTATTGTTTTGAGCTAATTATGTGATTATTATGTTTGTACTTTGCTTGAATTGTGATTTGTTTTGTAATTCGTATCGGAATCTGAGTTGATGATAAGGATGTGGTTATTGTGTTTGAATTTAGCGAGGAATTGTGATTTGTTTCGTAATTGGTATCGAAATTTGAGATAAGGATGTGGTGGTTGTGTTTGTAAGCTATATGATTGGTGTGAATTAGGTTGATTTTTGGTGATGATTAGGTGGATGTGCTATACTTGTTGAAGGAAGGAATATGTGTTGGATTGAAATGATTGGGAGCAATGACGAATAGTGTAGGAAAGTTTTAGTTAATCGAGTTTTAGGATCTAAATGAGCATTTTATTGTTAATAGGATTTGAAGTGAGAGAGATTATTTTGTGTGGTCTTGAATTAGCAAAAAGTTATAGACATTGTTGAATGTTTGTTAGTAGAATTCTACTCGTAGTGTGCAATTTGTGGGATCGGAATTGCGAACATGATATGATGCATGACCTATTATGATTGGTTACTTTTGAGTTTTTCTATTCTCTAGAGAAGTTGTTTACCTTGGTGATCTAGTTTTTTTCTTACTTAAAAACTTTACCCTCTGCCTCGAAATTATAGTTAATCGACTCAGCTCTTGATGAATTAAAATGAGATTTGTATCTCTGATTGTTATTGTTTTACATATTTCCTGTAATTTCTTGTCTTAATTTTCAAGATTTTTTTTCTGCTTGATCTTGATTATTCATTATTTTGAGTAAGGACATAGTTATGGACAGATGGTGTATGAATGTGGACGATTGGTATGAGTTAGGTGGATTTTTGTTAGTTATTAGGTGGATGTGCTATACAATGGTTTTATTATTAGTTCTTATTGAAGAATTTGGTATTGACTGAAGTGATTAGGAACAATGATGGATTATGTAGGAAACTATTAGAAATTCTAGTTTCAGGATATTCTCTTTCAGGTTTGATGTTCTGTACATCCAAATAAAAAATTTGAAGGAAACTTAAGGAATTGAGACAAAATACCTGATTTTGCGCTGTCACATTGGATTTGCAATATATGTGAAGTTGTGTGAAGCTATTTGCTAGTAGTGTCCTGCTCAGAGTGTGCATGTGAAGGGACTTAAATCTTGAACACTAGCTGATGCAAGATCATTAATTAGTACTTTTGAGATTTCTGTTTTTTCGAGAAACTGTTTACCTTGGCAATTGAGGTTTTGTTCTTAGAAACTGTTTGAATAATAGGCAAATTTCGTTACTTTATTTAACTAAAGTATGTTCATTTAGTTGTGAGTTTGTGACACGCTGGCTTCTTGATGGGTTAAAGTCTAATTCATTATTGTTCAAAATTTTGATTCACTGAATTGCTGGCAAAAAATTCCCACTATTAATTTATAATCTAGCAACAATAGAAATTAAACAGAACAATTTCCATTGGACCTGAAGCAATGAAATTATTGATCAAAATCACTAACCTGTTCCTTCTCAATGAGCCCAGGTTTTTGGTTTCTTCTTCTAGCACATTTTTCCTCCCTTTGAAATCCCTAAGGCCTCAACAATACTTTTCTTATCTCTTGCAAATATCAGAAGCTTTATCAATTACTTGAATGATCAGTCTTGATGTACCATTGGCAGCCTTCTGCTAGAGATTGGATCTATTGGAGCACTTTACTCAGAATTCTCTGCTCCTGAGTGGAATTTAACCACATCTTATGAGAAATAGGTTAAAAAAAAAATGTATGCTACTGTATTAGCTTCAGAAGTGACAATTATTCTGGGCATTCCAAACCAGTTAGAATTTCCCCCCCAAAAAAAATGTGCCCCTGATGCTGATCCTAAATCTTGATACTTCCTGTTACTTGTCTTTGTTTTTTTATGTCCTGTTGCATAGAGAAGCCCAATGGCTTTAGGAAGTTAAAGTGTGAGTTGCTTTTGTTGCATCTCAGAGCAAAAGCTTTGTTTTGTTTATAATTATCATGCATTATAGTTTATTTAAATTCCTGGAGTAGGGAGGTAACCTCTAGAGAACCTTTTCTATATAATTTAAATATGTGCTTGTAGCATTAATATTTATCCTCAAATAATATCTAATGTTTGCACGTATGTGACTTATCTTTATAAATTCAACCTGGGAATCAAGGTATGTAAGTCTTCTAGCATAGTGCCTTATTTGGGCTGGTCCATTTGTGTTTGAGCAGCCTTAATATTTAAGATCAGCTGTTGTCTGCCTATCCAAAAGTTCATTTTTCTTAACCTGAAGTAACTTATTTGGGCTGGTCCATTGTTATTCGAGCTGCCTTAATATATTAGATCTGCGTTGTCTGCCTATCCAAAAGTCAGTTTTTCTTAGGCTGAAGTACCTCCATTAGCTATTCGCCTGTTATTGTCCTTGAGAAATTACTGTCTGATATCTGAGTTATGCTATTGTGCTTAAATAACATAAGAATTTCGACTTCAGGTGCATTTGGGGTGCTGTAAATCCCTGATTGAATGAATTTATGTCAGCTTCCTATGTTGCTAACAATGTGAGAAATACTTGTCATGCTTCCAGACGCATATAGAGAAAAAGTAATAGGAAATGTACCTAAAAGTGGTTTAATGTGAATATGTGTTTTTTAGGGGAGGAGGGAGGTTGGTCTTATAGTTTAGTCGGGTGATTTCAATCATTATTCTTGTGTTTTGGCACTTTTAACTTTGGCGTTTTCCGGTATATAATCATGTGTTGGGGAAGTGGGATGACTTCTACTAGATTATACTTTAAAATTAGAGGAAATCTGTGTATAAATGTGCAGTACAACTAACTTTGTTTTGGTGAGATATTGTATAATAGCCTTTCTAGATAGGAAGGTTACGCTGCATATGTCTATATTCAACTATATTAGGAATAAATCTGTTCTTTATCAACTAAAGATGTTGCCAGAGGGTTCAAGTTGTTTTAAAGCTCATCTCTTGTCCTGAAAATTCTTTTTCTTTATATTATTATAATAATGTGTTTCTAATGTAATTGCAGGCCTATATTTAAATGCTGTAACTGAAACACAGCTTGTAGTTGATACTTCAAGAGGAGAAACCCTACGCATCAATGTAGTGTAATTTCCTTTTTTTCGCTTAAAGTTTTTGTAAATTCAACACCTCTGACTTTATTTTCTTTTAGCTAACATAGTTTCTCATCATCAATTCTGTGATAACATGCAGTTTGATATTACTTTCCCCGCGTTACCATGTTCAATTCTCAGCCTTGATGCTATGGATATTAGTGGAGAGCAGCACCTTGATGTAGTATGTAATCCATGCAGTGACTTGTCTTCGCATATATATATTTCTCTAATTTAATGTTTATTTGCTTGAATTATTGTTTCTGTTGTAAATGAACAATAATGATACTATGTTAGTCTGTTGCATTCTGATATGTGCTTCAGCCTTTTGGCCTCGAATGAGCTTTAATTTAATATTATAGGATCAGGTGTTTAGTTTGTGAAAATATGTATTGTGCTGCTGATGAAATATGACAGATGGTTCTCAACCCCCTTTCCCCTTTCGTATCTTCTCCTGGTGAGAAACTGTGTCTAGAAAGTGGGCTTATGAATAATTGCAATGCAAAATAAATGTTCCCACTGGACACTTTGTTTCATACTTTTGTTACATGATGAACTTTTAGCCTGTATAAAGATCCATTAAATGCAAAACCTTCAGGATCTTTAATTGGTGGAGATGCAATTTACAATGTATGGCCTCATCACTTTCTTAATTGGTTTGTCTTGGTTCTTTTTGACATGCAGAAACATGACATAATCAAAAAAAGATTAGACTCCCATGGGAATGTGATAGAGACACGACAAGAGGGTATCGGTGCTCCCAAGGTTAGTATGAAATTGTCATGCTGTGTTCAATTCATGAAAGCAACACCAAGTATATCCTCCACAGGCTCCACTTCTAAAACAATGCTTGTTTATAAAATTAAATCCATTAATTTTTTGGTGTTACTTCTACTGTATCAGATGGGATTACATAATGAGAAAATTATGAATTAATATGTACTTCTTCCATTTTTTAATACTTGTAACACTTCCTTAAAATAGAAATGTTACAATACCTGCATCACACTATAATTGGAAATTTTTTTTTGTTAAAAGTTGTACTATTACCCTTATTTTAAGCTCATGGCCCACTAATTATACTCCTAACAATCTCTTATCCCCATTTTACATGTATTAATTCATGTGAGTCCCACTTTTCTTAAATACTGTGAAAAAATGTGTGTGGCAAGTATTAAAAAACAGTGGAAGTAGCTATTTTGAGTGGTAATTTTTTGTCTTGCTTATGTATTGTTTCCAATTTCCATCTAAAGTTCTTAGACGTACCATGCATGTTGCTAATTAACTTTGAGTCTTTTCCATGACACTATCATGTTTAAATATACGTGAATGGAGCCCATGTTTTTTAGAAAATTCTTTTAAACCCGCTTCATTGCAAAGGTAATTGTACTTTGGGTTGTATCCTACATAGAGTGTTATCGCCTCAATTAAGATTAGCTTTATCTTATAACATTGGCATGGTTCAAAAATGCGATTTTGGTCGCGATTGCGGAAATGGTCGCGGTATTTCGGTAGCAGGACTGATGCGTTGATCGCGGATTGCATCGCGGTTGTCGCGCATGAATTTTATATTTTAGTTTTATGTGTTATAATAATTTTTTTCATAATTTTTGAAAATTTTATATGCTAAATTTCTCCATAGTATTATTACTATGGAGTACTTTCAGTAACTTCAATAGAACTTTTTATTACTACTAATTTACTACTGTAACTTTTTTGGATTAATTTTAAAATTAAATTCCTAATCTATAGTTCTATGCGCTAGAAATTAAAAGTGGGAAAAACTCCGGGGTCACGTGGGGAAAAAATTAAAAAAGGGAAGAGTGTGCTCAAGTGCTGGTGGGGTCAGGTTTAAATTCTAAGTAAAAACAAAAGATAAAACTTCAAGCTGTCACACACTCTGACTCATTATTTAAAAAAACAAAAAGAAATGGACTTTCACTTTTGAACTGAAAAAGGGTCGACTTTTATGGAGTAGTCGATAGCCCTCGCCGGAAATTGTTCGAACTGGCCGAAATTCTGTTCAAAACGGCCGATGCGGCTGAAATTGCGGGTTTTTAAAAAGCAGCATGTCGTACCGGCAAATCTCGGTTCAGTAATCTTCAAATCCGCTACTAAATGGGCGATACGCGACGTTTCGGACGCATTTTCGTACCATGAACATTGGACATTTTGTGGAGGTGTTTGGAAAGTGCTTATTGGGGAAAATTAGCTTATTTGACCAATATTGGGTGATTGACCACTACAATAAGCTAATTGGGGTGTTTGGTGGTGAGCTGAATTAATGAGCTTATTCCACTTAATAAGCTCATTTTCAATAAGCTGCTTGACGGAGCTTTTTCATTAGCTTATTCAAGTATTTTAGGTGAAATGACAATTATACCTTCATTGAACCTATAAAACCCTACCACAGTGAAATATGTCAATGTCCTTATTGTTCATTTTGTATAGTCAAACAACTTTAAGAAATAAGCTATTTACCATATGCTCTTATGCTAATAAGCTAATAGAATCAATTAGTCAAATCAATTAATACAATTAGCTAGTCAAAATTCACTAACACGATCAGTTTTAGTTTTTCACCAAACACGGCTATGTATAAAAGTCCATATATATATATATATATAGGACTTTACTAGGAAATTGTTACTTTACTAGGGGTAAGCATGGGACGGGTACCCGTACCGTTAGTACTAACGGTTCGGGTAACCGATAACCAGTATCACTAAAATTGATATCCACAAATCGAACCAATAAGTTCGGGTACTAGGATTTTCGGATCGGTTATCAGGTACTCAATAAGGTATCCAATAATGATAAAAACTTAATAATGTAGTTATTATGATATCATTTAACACTAATTAACAACAATACCACATGATCTTAACTAAATTATTAATATTATTACTAATCATTGATATTATAAAGTGATTATGAAATAAAGTATGAGTTTAGATTTTGGAAAAATAGATTTAAGTAGGAAAAAAACCAAAAAATTGCTTATTAGATCAGAGCGGGTAACCGTTAATCTCAAAATGATACCCAATAACCAAACCCGATAATAAATTATCGGAAGAGTACCCGAACCGTTATGGTTATTGGATCGGGTACCCTAATTTTTGAAACGGTTACGGATCGGGTTTTTGGTTTTTCGGGTAGTTTTACTCAGCCCTAAACTTTACCGCCTTTTATGAATGTTACATTAAAAGTTAAGAGTGAAATCATAGAAATACTAACCATGACTTAATTTATACCAACCAATGAGAATGCTAAAAAAGTATCGAATTTCAATACTTTATTTTCTTTTAAGGTTGTATTTCGTAACTTACATTATTTCTAAAGTAAAACTTTTATTTTCAAAGTCACTTATACTAAAGATTGTAAATGGCAAAATTTTCCTTATCACTATGACAATTATTCTGTTAAAACTAGGAGTTTTGTTGAAGGAGCGATTGACGTATTACTTGCTTGTGTTTGTTAATTACTTTGCTGAAAATATTTCAAGAAAGAAAAACTTTTATTTTGAACTCATTACCTAACATGATATATTGACGCTCTGTCCTGTCACTTCCTAATTTAAGTTTGAACTTCGAAGGACTAAAAAAAAAGAAACTATAACTTGTGCTTTCTAATCTTTTGCCTTGAAGAGTAACCTCAAAATTATGAATATTACAAAATTGATTGAATCTAGATAGCTTGAACTACTCATGCACTTTTTTGGACAGTCGTCTTATGTGAGCCAGATTTTCATTGTTTCCATCTAAATTTGCAACCTGTACAAATTAAATGATTACTAGAATAATAGGGACTCAGTTGCAATATTCATTTTCTTATTCTGCCATTTATACTGACTAATTTTTTTAAAAAAATTATTGTAGATTGAGAAGCCGTTACAGAGACATGGTGGCAGGCTGGAACATAATGAGACTTATTGTGGCTCGTGCTATGGTGCTGAAGCGGTATGGCTTTTTGTGTCAACTTTTAGGCTATAACATAGCGGCATAGCCTCACACACGTAAACACCGTACTCACACACGCTATTTAAGTTTATTCTCTGTCATTTATATTGGAACATGTTACACAAGATTACAAGAATGTTTGTTTAGTTTGATGGCAAGCTTCATTTCTCCTAAGCCTTTAGACTTTAGAAATTTAGATTTGGGATTAAAGTCTGGGGTTGGGTAGAATACCATGTAACTGTAGTTTGATGGCATCATTAACTTGTGTGAGTTATTAATTTATTGTAGTCTTATACTTGGAATTTTTTTCAAGTGTTTTCTCAGCACATTTATTTTAGGCCCTTAGCCGCCATTGTGACTTATAAGTAGTGAGTGAGACAATCTTTCTCATTCATATTAGTCACATGACATCATATTTGCATATTTTGTTATTGATAATTCTTCCTCCTGGTTTTTTATTTATTTATTTTAATTGCACCATTTGAGTTGGGCACAAAAATTAGGGAAGGAATTAAATAACAAAAATGTCCATGTGGCTACAAACAAAGGAAAGAGAGTGAAAGTGAGGTAACAAGGTAAATATTAAGTTTGATTAAGGGTAGGATGGGTATTTGGCGTGTGAACACAAATAAAAGTGTGACTGCATACCCAAAGTAGAAATGGTGCAAAATATGCAACTTTCTAAATGAAAAATGGCACAATCTTAAATAAGTATCAGTTTAGTGATAGACTTTGTTAGGATACACCTGTTTCTTCTCTTCTAAGAAGCATGGAAACTTCTGGGTTGTGGAAACCCCACTGTTTCCGTGCTAATGAAAACGGATCAGGCTTGAGGTTTTCCCATTTCTAGTATTCGAGTCATTTTGTGCAACATAGCTTCTCTTTGGGAGACTTTGTTATAGGGTGATGTGCCTAGCAGTGAGGTTCATCAAACTGGGTTATATTACTTCAAAGGATCATTTGAAAGGTGGTATTATTGAGTTCTCTGTTTATGCCTGGGTGTTGGTGTGACTCATGGTATTATTTGAAAGCCTCTTGGAAGTAACTTAGCTTCTATAGCCTTACATTGTGATCTACTGTCTATTTTGTTGCTTGGAAACTAATTCCAGAGGCCAATTATCCGTTTCTGAAACAAACACTTCCAAAACAAATGGCCTAAATCTTTTTCCAAAATGCTGTGAAATGTTTCTAGAGAAAGCAAAATATTTCATGATAGTTGATGCTTGAGAAAAGGCTTGAAAAATAGAAATCATAGTACGCACATGTTTCTTCTTCCCGGAACGAAAAGAAATTAATAATCACTTACGCATGAATGATAGGCTGATAGCTCCCAGATCTTCGATTCTGCAAATCAAGTTCCCATAGATTTCTCATAGCTGTGTCTTTGGGAGTAACATATGCTGAGTTAAAAAAGACGGTGTTAGGCAATTGAATTTCGGCACAACTTGAGAAATGTTTGATTCTGAAACTTGATTCTGTTGTTTTGTGCTATATAGTACAGCAAAAAAGGATGAAAGGATGAACAGAGTCTAGTATCTCAGATTGGGGTTTAGTGGAGAAAAGAAGCTGAGTGAGGAGAGAAAAAGTTCACAGATTTTTTATTTGGTGGATTTGACACTTGAAAGCTAGGAGAGAAAGAATGAAGAACACAGATTGAGATAACAATCTATAAATGATTAAATGTTATAACAATGGTTGAGGACATCAGTTTTCTTAATTGGTTTGACCAGGCATGTTGTCCATCAGTATTATTCTTTTTGCATTTCCTATGTATCCTTTTTCATAAACATGTGTATTACTTAGTTTCTCCCATTTCCATGTTTTTATGCAAACCTATACCCCTAGTCATATTGCAGGTGCAAACCAGTTATAAGGCGGTTTTGGATTAAAGTAGGTTTGTAATGGAGTCAAGTGTCTTGAATTATAACCAGAATAAGCTAAGCTTTAAAATTAATAAAGCTCGAGCTTCCTCAAGCTTAACTAAGCTTTTAGTTTGCCTGGTCAACTTTGGATTTGTAAAACATTGGGTTTTTTAAGCTAAAAGCCAAGCACAACTCAAATCAGACTATATTTGGTGTAATGAGCCTTATACGTGTTCTCCGCAGACTCCCTCCTCCCCTAAAAATCACATATTCTTTGGGCAAACTTTATTAATAGTCCATTTTTATTTATTTCTCCGTAATATATAAGAAAAGGCAGTCATGTGGATCTTGTTAGTTTTGTTTAATGTGTTCTTTTGAAATATTAACTTTCAATAAAAAAATTTAATACTTGAGTATAGATATCAATAGTCAAAGACTCAAAGGTGTGCCGGTGCTAGGCCATTTTTATGTAAGGAGCCGAGGATCTTGTTGATAACGTAAAATAGATCAATCTATCCATTGAGTAAAGATTTTAAAAGTGTTGTCCCAGATTTTTGTAGGAAGTAGCATTGTATTAGTGTACTAGATAATCTGAAATTCAATATTAAATTTGAAGAATCAGTACTCATGAAAGATTTCTCCGTAAGGATTTATCTCTTTCATAGTTGGAGGTTTAAGTTTTTGAGGACTTTTTGTCCCCTGATTGTATCTTTGTAGTCTTCCTTTTTAATATAAATATCTTTTATCTCTGTGTGTGTGTGTGGATGTGTGGAGAAGGGGGGGGGGGGGGGGATGGTTGAGAATGTGGTGTTGCGAGTTCTATTGGCCACTCAGATCTTTTAACTAAATGGTTGTGTGACTTTTGGCTATGAGGAGGTAGTTGAATAGATTGCTTTTGTAAGTCATGGCAACAAGTTAGCAGATGATCGTGCTCAAATCATTAATAAAAGTAGAGTTAAGATTCATCTACTGCCAAAGGTGTAAGATCAATGTTCCTTGTTTATTCAAGGACAATTAGACTAGAGAGGTAGGAATTTTTAATTTCAGCATTTGTCAAGGCATATAGTTTTAGGAAGGCTTCCTATAGGTTTAGAGTTCTCTCCTTGTCCACTACTTCAGTCAGATTTCTTATGTGAGGGCTATTCTTTTTCTGATAAAATATCCTGCGTTCCAAATTACATCTATGGAGATTGACAGCTAGAGCTCTACTTGAACAAGTAGGAATATATTGTTTGGTTTGAGCCTCACTAACATCTTATCTAGGTTTTCTTGGGCTGTAGCCAAATTTACATAGGGAGATTGTAGTTTAAGTCTTTTTTAGATGTGCATTGATGTGATTGGACATGGACCTGTCTTTGTGAACTACTATGCAAAAGTGGTAGGAAAAGTCCACTTGAATCATAAGTTGATTTAGTATAATTTTGGCAACAATTGTAGCGAAGAAAACCCTTCTAATGTGCTATGTACTAGTGGAGTTGTTTAATGGAAGTCATCTTTTTTGTAGCAAGGGGAGGGGGAACCATTGTGGACGTATCAGTATACCTTAAAACTTTTGAGGCTATAGAAGTATGGAATTAAAAGAAGGTCATGTCATTACATAAAGGCCATTCTTTATTGGATTTTGAACTTGCGGTGGAGATAAGTATGTCGGTGGATGAGTGTGGGCGGCAATTGCAGAAAAAATCTTGCCGAAAAAGGCATGTTGCAATTAACTAGGGACATCTGCTAAAGGCCATTGGCCAAATAAGGCCCATAACTCTAGATATCCAGGAGCATGTCCTATAATTATACTCTATAAAGAAAGGACAATCTTAAACATTGCAGAGTATACTTTTTATACTTGAATTTTCAAAGGTAATGCGCTCTGCTAATGATGTCCCATTAAATGTCGGAAATGCTAGCAAGAATCATTTGAGTAGAGTTGGCTACAAGCCTGAGGTAGTGAAACTATAGGGCACTTCTATTATCCTTATTGTCTCTTCACTTAGCAAATGCTAGTTTCAGAACCAATGCCTGCAACAAAGTATACTCTACTTTTATATGTATATTTAAAATAAAAAAAATAAAAATAAATAAATAAATAAATAAAAAAAAACCTTGTCCATTTCATAGTTTGTAATGTTGGCGGTTGGCCTCTTATATTTCGCATGATTATCGATGTAAACTCGAAGTAATTGCTCTGCTTTCCAGTTCATGATTTTTAGCCCATTGGTAACTATAAAAGTTCGTGAGATTATATCTTTCTTGGGATGATATGTTTACTTTGTTCACTGTTTATGATAACATCTTTCTTTTCCTGAATGTGAGCAAATATTTTGTAATTTTGCAGGCAGATGATGATTGTTGCAACAATTGTGAAGAAGTTCGTGAAGCATATAGGAAGAAGGGCTGGGCAGTTTCAAACCCTGATTTAATTGACCAGGTTTGTTAGTTAAATGTATAGTCATTTTAACATTGTATTTGTAGGTAAGTATTGTTGGAGTCCATTCTGCAATATAACTAGAACTTATTATGGAAGGGAAGGAGCGCTTCAACCACATTGGTATCCAGTCTGATGTTATACTGCTCCGTATACATCCATTAGTGGATGCAGTTGAAAGTTTTAATAGAAAGGACTGGTGTTAGTGTGTTTTTCATTGAAAGAGCAGCATTTGTCTTGGGTTTTGGCCGCTTGTATGAAATTATCCTTGTTAAGTTATATTTATACCATGCTATCAATTGAATTATATTAGTTATTTGCAATATTCTCCTAGGGAACAATGTTGTGTATACTGGAAATTTTTTGTATCTTATTTCACTCTTAACTTTTTGTAAATGTCAACAATTAAACCAATATTAGATTTCTTCGAATGCATTTTCTGTAAAATATCTATGATTTTTGACATGGTGTCTGCCAATCCTCACTGTATGTCCTGTTAACATTATCTTCTTTTCCTGTGACATACAGTGTAAAAGGGAAGGTTTTCTACAAAAAGTTAAGGGTGAAGAAGGTGAAGGATGTAATATCTATGGATTTTTGGAAGTCAATAAGGTTGCCGGAAATTTTCATTTTGCGCCTGGAAAAAGCTTTCAACAGTCAGGGGTTCATGTCCATGATTTATTGGCATTCCAAAAGGATAGTTTCAATGTTAGTCATATTGGTGCTGCTATCTTGTTTCTTTGAAACATTCTCTCTTTCCATACTGCTATTCTGAAAGCATATTGCTGTACTTTCATTATTTTTGCTGTTATCATATTGAGGGTTTTTAATGGACGCCGAATGTATACTTTTGCAGATAAGTCACAAAATCAATAGATTGACTTTTGGTGACTATTTTCCTGGTGTTGTAAACCCCCTTGATGGGTATGCCTCCACTTCCCTGTCTAGCTTTGAGTATTTGAGTGTAATTAAAGCCTTTTAATTTGTCCACAATCAATTAATTTGTTTGGTTTTAATTTAGTGTGACCTGGACACACAATACACCAAATGGGATGTACCAATACTTTCTCAAGGTTAGTCTACTGTCTTGTGCACAATTCTCTCTCTTGTTTTTTTTTACAGTTCAGCTCATTCATTTGTGTTGTTAACAGCATTTAGATTTTTTTTTTTTTTCGGGTATATGTAGATAAGTTTACACTTGTCTATAGGGCTTCTGAAATCAGGTTCCTAATTTTAAAACTACCACTTTATAGCCAACAGACATGTTGATTGTTGATTACAAAGTCATAGACATGTGGTGGTATCCTTTGGATGGAAATCTTGATTTTTGCATCATGCACCATCATAAAATAAATAGTGGGTTTATGATTACATTCTACATACACCATCATCGATTCTCTTGTTTGCATTACTTATACTTTGTACAATCTAATCATTGATACACCTAATATTGTTGTGGAACCCTTCTTGATTTTGTTGTATGGGTCCATATTTGCAACTTGCGTCAAGGAGGTGGATATTGTTACTCAGTGTTATTTTCATTTAGGAGTACTGGAGTATGCCTGCTGTAGATGCTTAATTGAACTTCATTTGTTTTACAGGTGGTACCTACCGTATACACAGATGTAAATGGGCATGCTATTAATTCAAATCAGGTAAAATTTGGTTTCAATTTATTAGCATAGAGCCGTTCAGTGTAGCAATATGGTGACAGAACTTACCTTGGTCCTTGCAGTTTTCTGTCACTGAGCACTTTAAGAGTGCTAGTGCAGGCCACTTTTCAACTCTGCCTGGAGTCTTCTTTTTTTATGATCTATCTCCAATTAAGGTGAGTTCATTCACAGGATGAAAGATATGTCCTCTTTTACTGGTAAACATTGGAATTTTGTGGCAAATGTATATCCTACATTTTCAATTTTGAAGAGATTTTTTGTTAACTTAAACTGATGTGCGTTATCATCTGAATTTGTTGTTCGATTTAAGAAATTATCGTAGAAAACCAGCATAAATATTTGAATGCTCCAATAATTCCTTTTTTTTATTTATGCTTAGGTGACTTTTAAAGAGGAACACATTTCCTTTTTACACTTCTTGACAAATGTTTGTGCTATAGTTGGAGGTAACATCCTTTATCACAGTTGCATTTGCAGTCCAAAACTCTCATCTCGTTCCTACCCTAATCATTTGACTATCATTCCTCATTAGCCGTTTCCTTTCACATTTTGACTGTCTTATGTAGTGTATATATTTTTGGCTTGTTGATTCAGGTGTTTTCACTGTCTCGGGGATTCTGGACTCCTTTGTTTATCATGGGCAAAAGGCAATCAAGAAGAAGATGGAAATTGGCAAATTTAGTTGAGGGAATTTTTGCTAGCTGAGCTAGGGGCAATTGTCGAAGTTTCACAAGCTTCCTGATTCATGTCTGTACGCAGAAGGGAAATTATCTTCAGCTGCAATGCAGTCCCAGATACTCTGATGACTCTGATCATACAAGAACAATTTTGTCATAACTTAAGGATAGATTTTCTTTCAATATTTATTAAATCATTCAGGAATTCTAGATCTTTTCTTTTTTATGTACCTCTAATGCTTTCTTGCTGCACCACAATTGTAAATTTTATTCACAAATGAGCACATCATTTTCTCACTGTGGATGCCAATTCGTAGTTGTCCCAAACCTCTGGTACGCAGAGATAGTTCGAGACCAAAATAACATTCTAACACTCCCTCCGAGCTATCAGTCTTGCAAATCTATTCCTCTTTGGAAATCAGCTAACAATTAGAAAGTTGTCTGCTTTATCAAATTGGCCATCACGTAATATCAAGGTTAATCTATCACTGTCCCTAGATCGTGCAAAATCTGCTTGGTTATATTGCAGGAATTTAAGCTGCAAAGCGGCACAAGATGACACTTGCAGCTGTATAAAGCACGAGCCACCTGGGCGTCTACTGGGGCGATTGTTAGATGCGTTATAAAGGCTATTGTTTAACTGTAGGTTTGAGTACCAAATCTGAAGTGACTCATTTCAAAATGAAGTGGAAACATCGACATCTAGCAGTAAGCCATCGTTACCTTGAGTTTTAAATTGAAGGTTCATATTCTTCGATATGGCACGTTTTTGTCATACTTTATCTTTCGCGATACCTACCTTCAAACAAACATTAAACAGATATCAGTGTAAGAGTGGTATAGATCACATATCACCACCAAAAATAGATGGAGTAAACAAAACGATACGACACGATCCAATTCGTAGAATATTTTTCCGAGTTTTCAAAGAACCAGAATCAAGAATAATCTTGATAGCCTGCCTGCCTGCCTGCCGATAAAATTTTCTGCAGTTTCCACTTGGTAACTTTTTAATGTATGAACATCAGAAGTCAAAACTCACTCACTCTCCAAAAAGAAGGGAGAATAAGAATCAAGAATAGTGATAAGGTGGCCTGCCCTCCACTATACTAGATAGACTATGTGTGTTTGTATGTGAAAAGAGATGATTATAATGTTAGTGGTGCTGAATTTAGTGGAGAAAATGACTTCGTTAAAAGCATGGTACGAGTTTATCGGAATATAATGTCTATATTCTAGTATTGTCCAATCCACTTACTCTTATCTATTGTTAGAATGATGTCTTTAAGTATGGATGTTGTACCAATGACCAAGCTTGCAAGGATTCTAGTCCATTTGTCTTAACGCATTTTGTTTTGCAACAATACTTATGCGATGGCGTTATCTAATATTCCCTTCGTCTTTTAAAGATTGTCCGATTTTTCTCTTTAGTTCATCTTTAAAAGACGGTAATTAACGTAGTTCTTACAATTTCTCTCTACTTTATTACTGCCCCACATACTAAACAATAAAACTACCTACTGACTCAATACAACTTTTAACAAAGAGAAAACTGGAGATGGCCAAAACTTAATGGACTGGGGGAGTAATAACTACACCCGTACTCCGTACTCCATTTATACACCCTATTCGTCCCAAATTACTCCGTAGTTTGCTATACTGATTATATTTTTCCCCAGTGATAAAGGTCAACAACTTGGTTGTATTAGGTGAACCCTGAGACTGAAATTTTAATTAGTGATTGACCATAGATTGAGAAGTAAGTTATTTATGATTAATACTCGTAGTGTATTAGAGAAAAAGGTGATTCAAGCTTACAAGGTTGTCCCAAGCAACGACTTTGTTGAAGTCAAGATTGTTCTGTTATGCTGAATATTAGAGGCTAGAAGTTTGAGATTGCTGGTAAAAATGGGGAGCATAAGATTTAATTCAATCCCTTAAAGATTGTGTTGCTGTGAGATTAAGAAATTTAAGGGCAGGTTTTTGACCAACGATTATATGCTACATTTGAAATTATGATGCACAATATGCTTTCAATAACATGTTATTTACACCTACATGTTTTAATATGTTCTTGACAGCTTATCATACTTTTATACTTTTATTGTCGACAAAACTGTACTTACACCTACATCATAACAAAGTGTCTATGGAAACCTTTTTACTCTTGCGTGTCGAAACCAATTGGCGGGTTTTAACAACTACTCGTAACAAGTAACAAGTAACAACTAATACAACCAATCATCACTTTGCGTTTTTACAACTAACATACTTCCTCCGTTCTTTTTTTATCGCATCATAGGGATTTTTGAGGCAAAATTTGGTAGTGGGAAAAAGTAAGAAGGAGAAACGTAAAAATACAAAATTGTCAATGTAATGTAAAGATAAAATAAAAAGTAAGTGTGAAAAAGTAAGGGTATGTTGGGTATTTGCAGTGTAAACATAGATATTTATTGTCCTAAAATGGAAGTGATGCAATATTTGTGTAACTTTCCTAAAAGGCAAGTGATGCGATATTAAAAGAACGGAGGAAATACTAATTTGCTTCATTGCCCAAACACTAATTTAACGTTAATCATTTTCATTTCATGAACAATTACACATTATACGGAATACTTTTTAATCATGAACAAAAATAAATACGGAGTAGTAATAGTCTCTCTAAATATTTTTTACCGAGTATTTTTTTATTAACAATGATAAAGGCATGTGTAATTGTGTATGATAGGTCATAAATTCAAATCTCTCTACCATATTTATAATTTGTAAGACCCTTATCAATTTATCATTCATTTAAAAACAACATATTTATCCTTACAAACATATACGGAGTAAAAAATTACTCTGTAAATATTAATGTTTCTCCAACAGCTATGACACTAATCTCTTTCATTATTTAACCCTAAAAAAACGCAATGTTCGATGACATTTTGTTTTGGCTTTCGTGGAGGCAACAATAATTTTCCAATTCAAGAAACTTTTTTCCTGAATTTTGCTTTCGATCGAGGAAGTCACGGAGACAAATTATTGAAGTGAACATGATGAAGCTTCTTGGAAAGAGGCCATTTATGATGTACGGTTTAATTCATTAATTGATATCACATATTCTCAGGTTAGATGATAACCAGATACACTGTATCTAACTAACTCTACACCCAAGTGAATACCCTCTTAGAAATTGTGCTATACACCCGGGTGTACTGTACACCCATGATTATTTGCTCTCATTTTAATGATTGTTTTTTATTTAGTCATCAAATGAAAAGCAAAAATTAACTTTGAGATAGTTGGGTGTACGTTACACTCGGGTGTATATAGCAATCTCTCATACCCTCTCCTATATGTAATTGGGCAAAATTTATACGGAGTAACTCAACTTCTTTATCTTATACGGAGTATGTAACTTAGTTTTGATTTTCGTTTAAATTAGAATGAAAAAATCAGGTGAATAAAACACACTTTAAGTACGGTATATACAGATCTTATTTGGCAACAAGAAAAATAATTGTTACTCCCTCCGTCCCTTAACTACGTGCATATTTCTCTTTATTATGTGAGTTATAAATGTCAAAAATAGCCACGTTGTTAAGGAACAGAGAGAGTACTTGTTACGTAGTAGTTGTTTGTATCAGATGGCTTAATATTTCTAGTTTTATCTTCTTATTATAGTTAGATCTATACTCTGTATTAGTTTTAAAATAAAAGAAAATTAATGTTGATTTTTGTTGTGAATACTTGCACGGATTTATGCATGTGACTTAAGCGAAAATCTGGTTATTGCGTGATAGAAGGGTGACACGATATCACATGTTTGAGATGATTCACAAAACAGTTGTTTAGTAAGACATGAATTCCTTATATCGCATAAACTATAATTATTTTAAGGTAGGCGATGAACTCCATCGCATGTGCTATGAGATCATCAATTCATCGAATACTAAAGGCTTTCCTTATTAACATAAAACTAAAAGTTTAGACAAAGTATATTATCTACGAACAAAACTTACATACTTGTAATTATCATATATTATAAATAACTAGTTTAGTTCACGAGCAATGCACTGTTTTAAACAAACATATTGTAAGATTTGTTTATAATACGGAGAAAGAAAGTTTTCTACTTTGTTAATTTTTTGTATACATGATAAGTAATTTCTACTATAGCATATTACTTGTAAAATATATACATTTATAAAAAAAATAAAAAAAAAAAAATAAAATCACAATGAACACTTTTGAACATTGAAATATTAACATACTAAAATAAATTTAAAAAAAAAGTCAATAGAGATAAAGGATAAAGCACATAAAAGGTTTATTAGATAAACAAAAAAAACTAATGACATCATCATAGTAAATTGGTGGGAAAAAAAAATTTATGTCAAAGTGATATGTGCACAATTTGGAGAAAGTATGATGTCAGCAACGTTTTGTTTTACTATTAGTAAATAGATATGATTCACATAATTATAAATTATATAGATACCACTCATTTTTATTTATTTCAACCCAACCAAGACTCCAAGAGTAGTATATAGTAACAAAATTTGTATTTAAGCTAGATTTTATAGTATAATTACATAAAGACAGTATTACGTCGCTTTAAGAGTGACGTTGCAATTTGTATGCATTCACGTTTCACAGCTAATGTATGCCGTTTCATTCCAAACTAAGCGTGAAAATGTACACTCTCTTGCCCCTTTTTTCCTCTATGGCTTTTCTTTTACTCAAAGGATATCCAATAATCCACATTTCCAACCACCCAAAAACTTAATATTCTTGCATACTTTCTTTCCTACTTTTATTTCACACTTCACAAAATTCATGATTATTGACCGCAATAACGGCTGCCCTTCATTGGCCTTTTGAGTTGAATTGGTTGTTACTAGTTTGAAATTCTTGTGTTTGTGTAGTGATCTTGATCTCTTCTCTCTTTTCACTTTTTGCAATAGATATTATGATTTATTTCAATTTTTGTAGTCCAGAATGTTACTTTCTCCGTTCTAGTAATATTGCAACAATTGGACTTTTGCACTATTCATTATATTTGTTTGACCATAAATTATAATTTATACATAAAATAAAATATAGTCATGTTGAGTATTGTTAGATTCGTCTCATAAAACACTTTCACAATATTAACTTTTTATAATTTTTACATTTATATAATTATAGATATTTAACATTTAAAATGTGATTTAGAATGCGTAATTTCATCCTTGTTGCGGTTTTTGTAGAACAAAGGAAGTATATATTTAGTCTCAATCAATAGTAAGATGTCATACTTAAAAATTAAACTTTATAGTGTAAAACATTAATTTTGGCCGAAGAAAAAAATTTGATTGTTCACTCTAAATTTGTATCAACAAGTGTAAAATAAACAATTGTTTGAACCCATTTATAACCTAGATTTATTGATTAGTACAATCTCCATATTTTCCTATCGTAAGTACATTTTTGTTATGGACTCATCGACTAGACTTAATAAAGTATAATGTGTGGTTGCATACCTTCCATTAGAGTATGAATTAGTAGTAAAGATGATAACAAAATTGAAGATTTTTACATGATGAAAATCTATGATTCAAACATAAAGAAAATAGTAATAAAAAAAATTTAAAAAAACATTCGAATAGAACCATTTTGAGCATAAATAATTCAATTTCCTCATAATCAAGTTAATTCCCTTACACAAGTACAAAATTTTGCTAGTGTATTTTTACATTATTACTGTATTAAATAGTTGCATAAGTTTCAGAATGACAATTATTTCAATAGTTTATTAGCTACCCAAATTCCGACATTGAGATTTTGTAACTATCTTTACACTCAAGAATTAATGAGAAGGTAACAAATTAAAAATAGCAAGCTGAACGTATAATTAAAATTTAATTATGATTAGAACAATAATTACGGTGTATATAAAACAATCTCTAGAACACTCTTATATCTTCACCTAAATCTAAAAATTATTTACACTATTAACGAAGTTGGACTTTTTTTCGAACAAGTAGGCATATGTCCTCTTCACCAAAATAATAGAGATGTGTTCAATCATACTATATATATATATATATATATATATATATATATATATATATATATATATATATTTTATTTTTTATTTTTTAATTTTTTAATTTTTTTTTTTGAGACATGTTCAATCATAAACTTGAATTAAATTGATACGGGCTAACAAATAATTCTTTTTTTAAAATAAAATAAAATAAAAACCTTGCTTTTGCCGTACATATAATATGAATTATACATTATTAATCCAAATTAGATGTTCCTGTATTAATTTCCAAAATATAATGTGTAAGCAGTAAGCCTATGTCCTCGTCAACATTCATTCACCTACAAACAATGACTTGGACTAGACTTTATAAGGTAGAGTTTAAGTACTGTTTGTTGACTATTGACTAAACTTTGAATATACGACTATACGAGTAATATGTAGTTAGATACAAATTGTAATTTTTGAAAGGAAAATTAAAAACAAAGTAACATGTAATTTTTTTGTTCGATTCACATGAATACGTTAATATACGAATTTAATGTTAATATTCTTAAATCTTATGGCTTAAAAACTGTGCCTTAAATCTTGAACATTACTCGTACGTACGTTATGAATTTATGATCTGAGTATTTTGTAAGCATAAACAGTTCACCAAACTTTGTGGTAAAATTCAATTCAGATTTCAGACGGATATCAGTCCAATTCAATTCCTTTCAACCACACTCCATTATTTACTTGACTATAACCTTATCAGTCCAGTGCATGCCACCACCATTTGATAATGACTTCTCATTTCTATACATCGGTCCTATACATCTACTATTTCTTGAATTATTTTATTATCAAAATATCTCATTTTTGTCATATTATTATTTTATTCAACACTCACAATTTTAACTCAGCAAATACGTAGTAATAGAAATAATAATACAAAATTAGAATAATAAATACAGTACAATATGGCAAAATAATAATAATAATAATAATAATAATAATAATAATAATAACAATAATAATACTTCACTAAAAATGATCATCAAATTACAATCCTAAAATTTTCTACTATAAACATAAAAAAAAACAATAAGAAAAAAACTACCCTTCATTTGATCAAAGGCAAGATAAAAAAAACACTTGCCTCACCAAAGAAGATTGTTGGAGTCCCTACAATTTCCAAAAACTTCATTGTAGAGATAACTCCTGCCCTGAAACTACCCACTAACAACCTACTAATTTAATTAAAAATAAAAGAAAAAAAATTTACACAAAACATTACATGAGTTTTATGATGACACATTTTAACTCCTAACTTAATAATAACCCATACTTAGACAAATTTAAAGCATCCCAATCGATCTCACGAGATGGATGCGACGCCAACAAGAAGTTTTCCGATCCCATGTCTTCGTTATCTTCAAATGTCAAATCCGACAACGGCGATGATCCACCGGAACCCACCTCGCTATCGGAGGTGCTCTCGGCTTTAACATCACCATGTTGCATCATCGATTGTTGTGAAATTTGCTGCTGCTGTTGCGACGCTGCTTCGCTAGAAGCAGCAGCCGCGACAGTCGTACAGCAACTCGATGAAGAACATGAAGTAACAACAATATCTTTATCTTTCTTTTTCGACTTTCCAGATTTCCCCTGTTTTTCATTCCCCTGTTTAGCCAAACTCTCACAAATAGCCTCAAGTTTAGCGTTAACAGAGGAGTGAAGGGGTTTGTACTCGCCGAATTCGCCACCGATGTGGGACCCTTCATGGCGGAGATTAGGAAAATTCAGCCTAGCAAAGTCACCTCTTAGCTTATAAGCCGCCTTGTCGTAAGCCAAGGCGGCTTCTTCAGCCGTATCAAAGGTACCTAACCAAAGCCGGGTCCGGTTCTTAGGCAAACGGATCTCAGCGACCCATTTACCCCAGTGACGTTGTCTCACGCCCCGGTAAAGCTTAGTCGGCTTCGGGGCAACACCGTTAGATTTCATGGTAACAGGTTTGGGAGACAGAAAGTTATTGATATTACTGGATTGGTAGGAAGGAAGTGGTGGTGGAAAAGAATAGCTCATTTGTTGGGCTTGGGGTTGGGCTTGGGCTTGGGGTTGGGCCTGTGGGTAACTAAATTGGGCTTGGAAGAAATGGGTAAGCCCATAAGTAGTTGATGGATCTTGATGGGTTAGCCCATAAAACGGGGCCTGCTCTGAATAGCAACCATCCTGAAACAAAGAGGTGGTGGTGGTGGTGGTGGAGGGATCTAGACTGTAAGAGGAAGATGAGGACAGACAAAACGACGCCGAAGCCGGCGGCGGAAAAGAATAACATGAGGTGGTTGAAGGGGAAGAAGGCGGAAGAGTGGATGATAATTGATTTGATTTCATAAAAGGTGAGAGTGCTTCCATTAGTTCATTCCCAAATGGGTCTGAACTAATTTGTGCACTACTATTACTAAACATCATATCCATTGCTGTTGCTGCCATTTTTAACCTGCAAAATGAGTAAATTATTTTTGTTTTTTTTTTTTTTTTTTTTTTTGGTGAGATTCAAACAAGATAAAATAAAATAAAAATAATCAACCTGCTACTTAGTAAAATTCAAGAACAGGTTAGTCCAAAAATATTAACACTAAATCAAAATAAAATAAAAATTGAGAGAAGTAGAAACAAATAGAATTCTCTTCTCTTCTCTTCTCTTTTCTTCTAACTTAATAAAAACCAACTTTCGAGGGAGTAAAAATTTACCCTCGTAGCTGAAAACCCAAAAGATTTCGATTCGATTTTAAACAAAAATTAAAAAATCGGAATCACGATTCTGTAAAAATAAACACCTATCCTTTCTTTAAAATCAAAAGCTTGATATCTTGGTTTCGAAATAAATTCTATAAAAACTCACTTTTATAAGATATAATTAACCTTCCAAAACATCAAACCATTAAATTTTTTCAAAAAAGACAGATGAATTATCAACAGAAAGGGAATCCAAGAAGCGGGGAATTACAGAAATTAGGGGGAAAAATTAAGAGAAAAATCAGATCTGAAGAACTCTGAAGGCTCACTCAATTTTTGTGAAAAATGGGTTGAAGAAAAAAAGGGGAAAGAGAAACTCTCAGCCTTACTTTTTTTGAGCAAATTGTTGTGTTTTTGGGTTGCCTCACTGCAATGGTGAGAGGCCAATTATATAAGCAGCCAAATTACCCTCATTTAATTTTTTATTTTAGTATTTTTTTATAAGTGGGTTTATTTTGAGGATACTTTCGTCTTTTCAGTGTAATACTGCTTTTTTTTCTTCATCCTTCCTAACTCCCGGTAAACGGTCTTTTGAATGATGTAAGTGTATCTAATCAGGGTTTGTTGTCCAATTGAGGGTTGACACGTGGGTATGTTATCGCCATGTGTCAGTCATTTTGCCACGTGTCAGTTGCGAAAGTTTGGGTCTAGTTTGTTTTTCGGTGTTGACCGGATTGCAGCGTTCACACGCCCACAGCCCACAGTTGTAATACCACTTTTTTAAAAAAATTATTTATTATTTAATTTATATGTCATTTCGACGTATTTTAATTTTTTTTTATTTATAAAATTAAAATACTTTTTTCTTGAAATGTCAGAAATAAGATTCGAAAAAAGAACAAAAAGATAAAAGACAATTTGAGCTAATAAGACGAGCAAAGGCATTGATTGTTGTCAAAACTTTAGTAATTTGATCCTAATCAATTCACGGAATATGAACCCCATTATACCAAGAAAAGCTGTGGATTGGAAAAAAGGCCAAAAATTATTTCATGATTTTTCCTTTTTATTCACGCAGGTTTTTTACTCCCTTAGTGCTTTGCTTCTTTTGTTCATGGAGGTTACTTCTTTATTAGTGTGAAATGTGAATGAAAAGATTCTTAAAAATTATATGTTAGCTTGCTTACTATCAAATATACTACTCCGTATTTTTCTAATTATTGCATAAAATGAACTACATATACTAGTAGTTAAATATATACATTGACAACCGCATAGTTAAATGGAAAAATACTTCATTAAAAAAAAAAAATCACTCCAAAAATTACTCCTTTGTTTCGCCTTGTTTCATATTACTTTTTACATATTTTTTAATTTGAGTTAAACTATGCAATACAAATATAAAATATAGAAAAAAATTTACATTAAAACTACGATAAGAATCCATTTGAATATGTTTTTTTCACACTTAATTTTATGGAAATTTTTTTTATATAGTCGTATAATCTACTTGATTTCACTAAAAAAAAAATCTATTTAAAGCGAAGATTTTAAATAGGACAAATAAAATAAAACAAGATGAATAACACGGAATTGAGTCATGCATCATGCACTTTACTACTAGTACTATGCTGCGCCGGTAAAAATAATCATGATTCATCTCTTATAGTCAAACCAATTTGGTTTCTCTAAAGTCCAATAATTATTCATTCCACTCAATTATGAAGGAATAGCTTATTAATTAGGGTGGGGGAGGTGAGTAATTTCTCAATACTCCATATGTCATAACTAAAATATTGAGATTTTTGTAATATGATTAACTCTCAATTTGCATCTGCATTAACATTCTTATCCTCTTATCTCAAATTATACATCGTATTGTAGTTTTTTTCAAAAAAAAATTCACAAATTTGCTTGTAATTTGAAGTCAATAAATCTAAAGAGCTTTTCTTTTGTTAGACGGACTTTGATGCGGTTGATTTACTATATTTTGGTCCCTATATTAAACTTATAGTTTGTACTAATTTTGTATAATCAACTTTTTATATGTGTTTGTAGTTTTATTAATTTTGCTTTAACTAATACGAAGTATTGAATAGAATCTGTCAAACCATCTATAACTTGAGTTTGACATTGAAAAAAAAAACATGATATTATTTCATTGGTTGCAAGGTAGTGGTAGTGCATCAACCAAAAGAATGAAGACATACTATAATAACAAGATTAGTAGATTACATATTAATAACACTCTAATTTGAAATTAAAGTGTTTTGGAGTAGATTGATAAGGTTTATTGCATAAACAAACTATGACTGCATTTTAATTAATGACTTAGTTAAGGCCTATGACATGCATTAACATCTTAAATAATTAGGTCATGATAATATAATCTTCTCTTGTGGCACATTATAGACCACTAAAAACAAAAATTAATTTTATACTTTACGATGAGATATGATCAAAATAAACGTCGCATAAATTAAATTAATAAAAATGAACTTAAGCATTTGTAATCATGCGAAAAAGACACCCACGAAAAGAACACTCTAGAAAGTAAAAAAAGATAATGTATAAAAACGTGTTGAAGTTGTTTAAAGTGGAATTATTTGATAAAACTTGAATGAAAATTTAATTAAAAATTTCTCTCTCTTAGACTTTCTGAATTTGCTGCAACAATTAGGAAAAGGAGTGTTTTAATTGGACAGCATGATATTAATTGATGATTAGATTAAGACGTAAGGGTATGACAACGTACAAATCACCGTTGGATTTTGGTAGTATAACAACGTCATTTATGAGTATTAGGTGAATTTCTAACTAATGTTGATGATATTTTTGCAGCTTCCATCATTTTTTTTTACCCAATATAAAGTTTGGATTTTACCTTGTAATTTCGTCAAACCATCTTTAACTTTAATAGCTTTTACTTAATTACCGCAAAAGCTTTATTGATTAGTTTACAACTTTGCACAAGAAAATTCGTTCTCTAAATAGCAACGAGAATAGTGTTGATATATACGGAGTACAACTTATTAAGACACGTATGCAAGTTGGGTGAAATTAGCTAGTAGATGATTGCATGCATGTCTCTTGAGAGCATCATATATATGATTGTTTTTATGTATGTAACGCATACAATATCATACTTGTACATGGCTAAAAATGAATGTAATACGCTAAATCCTTTTTTAAAAAAAAATCCCAACTACTAGAAGTACTTGGGATTTTTTTAAAAAAATATGGTTTCTCGACTTGTCCTTTTAGTTTTAGCGAGTTCTTTCTTAATTATGTGTGGATAAAAAGGTTTAAAATGAATTACGATTTATCTTATTATTGTAGTATATATTAATGATTTTATTGAAATTGTTCTTACTTGATTAAAAAAATTTAGCTTGGCGAGTTCTTACTTAATTGCAATTTGCAAATGATGTCAAATTGATTTCATTGAAATTCTTTTGCTTTCTTGTAGGATTTTCAAATTTGAAAAGGTTACTTGCGCTTGACAAATATTTTATAATTATAGTTAAATAAATAAATATTAAATTTACATAATTTTACATTAAAATACTCCCTCCATTCTAAAAAATTCTGTTGTTTTAAAATCATTTCAAGAGACGCAAAAAATGTCAATCATGAAAAACATTTAAGAACAAAAGTATATAAATTAGCAAAATACCGATCTTGATTCGTAATAATTACTAAATATTCCATATCTTAATTATAATAAAACTATAATGGAGTGTCACATTTTGGTCGTATACCATTGAGTAATTAATGATCAATCAAATAATCCTACCTAATATAATTAGTATAAAACTAAAGTAAGTACTCTAAAAAAATGATTTATGTAGCAAGTTCTAATAGTCAACCTTTTATTCCCTCTCGTTTTTATAGCCCAGGCTATTCTTCTAGTCAACTTTAAGGCTGCTATTTTCTTATTATTTTCTTTTTTCGTAAAACTTGAGCAACTCATTTATTTTTTTAATTGAAAAAAATAAAGATATGAGCAACTCTTGAAGTGATCAAAAGTCACAAATTAAAAACCTTTCGATCTAAAAGAAAATTAAAAAAAATAAAAAAAAATAACAATATCCTCGTCGAAAAAAAAGTCGTTGATCATGGTTATTAGGTTCTTAGGTAGTCCAACGGTAGACTTGTTAAACTTAAAAATAAATAATTAAATTTTAGAAGAAAAAAAAAAAATTACTCCCTCATTGTGTTTTGCTTCTTTAGTATAAGATTACTTAAGAAAAAAATCATCAATTATTTGAACATGAATTTATATGAATACATACTAATATGATTAGCTGATAAATTATTAGATTCGTTCCGACATTTGTGTTAAAAAATGAATACTACGGAGTAACATGTATGAAGTACAAGTATTTTTAAAATACCAATAGTATATCCTTTTGAATATTCTCTCTCTCTCTCTCTTTTTTTTTTTTTTTATTTCATCTCATTATTTGCACAATTCTCAATTTAATCCTAATAATATTTTATATTTGAAAACTATACATTGTATATTGAACTTATCAAATAATATTTCATATGACTATATATTTTCTTATAGAATTTCTAATAATACAAGTAGTATATTCAATGTAACGAAATTTATAAATTAAAAATGATAAAATTAAAAATTAAAATAGACCAATCATGTGTTGTTTCAAATAATGTTTAAGACTTACCTTATATCTCAGAGGTCTACGGTTCCAATTATATCGAAGTAAAGATATTTAGAGGTAGGGATTTCTTTATCTATCCCTACTTCCAAATATCTAGTTCGTAAAAATTGGAACAAAAAATCACGAGGGTTGAAAATTGATTAAGATCATTTAATTTTTTAAAAATAATAATAATAAAAAGACCCATAAATATTATTCTCTCTGTCCCAGACATCTGATACAGTCAATTTTACATACATGCCAGTATACTAGTTTGACTTCATATTAATATAATTAAAAATAAATGAAAATTATTTTTAAAATTAAATATTATGAAAGTAATGAAACTTTATATTAAAACCTATCTAACATAATATTTTATAATAAAATATATTTTTATTATATTAATACAAAATTATGATCAAAGCTAATAAATAAATAGTAAAATAAGTGTAACATCTCATATGATGGAGGGAGTTTGTAGTATCAATGTATCATATCATTCATGTGTGAACGTTTGTTAGAGTAATACCGTGTCGGGCAAAATGTAGTTGTAATTTGTAAAAAACTTGACAAAACGCAGAAGTTACGGCACAAAACGAGAAATATCACACTCAACAGAACAACATATCACGTGGTCAACCACGTGATTCTCCTCCATATTTGCGGCGCCACCTTGCTTACTCTTCCCAACTTCGTGGGCTTAAGACCCGCGCGTGATCTCACACATGACATCATGTATCCACGTGGCATCATATTAGAGCACGTGATC